CTCTGGAGGTTTGTGGACTTGCTGAAACACTTGTGGAATAGAGAGATTCCTGATGACAGAGGAACCAGGTCAGATGTTTATGGGAATGAATAACAGATTGAATAAAGAATCCAGAAACCAGAATACCATCTGTTCATAAGGAACAGTGATTGGGTTTGAATGGAACAAAAGGTTTCAGCAGGTTGGTTAGATGAGGGTTGCAGTTTGCTAAGGTACAGAGTAAGGTCATGGAGGTCATAAGCTCATGGACAGGTCCTCTTGTTTTATTTGTTATGGAACAACCATTGAAAGAGAATGTACGCTGAACGGATATGGACTGATCCAGCAATCACTTGGTCATCTGCAACAGTGAGATGAATGAGGCTAGATGAATGTGTAGCATTCTAGTTATGACAAGATTGATCTAGTCACAGGTTCATTGTGGCCGGTAAAGGATGACTCCAAGAAATACTCTGAAATGGTCAGGTTTGGTATTTTAAATAGTTGCGTGAAGCAGAAATTAGGTCTCCAGGTGGGAACAAGTTACAAAATAAGATGTGTGGACCTAACAAAGGAGCATTTGGGAGAGGAACTAGAAATGGCAGTCACTAATATGCAGACACTCCTCTAAGTGGACTACATGGCTGCTTGAGTTGAGTTTAGTTCTCTCCTCTACCTCTGTCCTCTGCTGTGCTGCATTCTGTTGCCAGGGACTTGAGCTTGGCTTTGTACTCAACAAACACAACTGTCTTCTGGGCCAGGGCTTTAGCTGTGTTGTGTTGTCCTGTGCTGTCATAAGCCTTATGTTTTTGTTGTGTTGGCTTGGGTTCTTGTCTTCAACTTTCTTCTCTGGGGGCCTCTGCACTCTCGCTTTGCTGTGCTGTAGAGTTACCCCAGGTGCAGAACCAGCCCTCACTCTCACTCTTGTTCTGTTTTTGGTGTAATGTCTAGCTTTATTTGCAGCTCCTTCAGCAGACTGCCTCCTCTGGGAACCTCAACACCCTGAGCAGCCTCCACCCAATGGGAGGTAAGTGTTTCACTGCTGCTGCGGAGCAGCAGCAGCCAAGCCAGCAGACCCGGCTGACAACAGTCTGAGGGTTTTCTACCGTTTGTGCAGAAAAAATTTTTTTTCCCACTCATTACATAAACCTGACATAAGATGAACCTCCTAGGATTCAACTACCTTGTCTGTAGAAGGTGGCTCTTTTAGCTGTTGATATCATATTGCTCTGCAGTTGTCTGCTGCTCCCTACCCCCTTAAGTCTCTATTAAGGAGGAAGATGGAAAAGAGCTGTTAGCATCTGCAGACTATCTGCAGCTACTTTGATAAGGAGAAAATTGCAGGAATTCTTTATTTCCACAATAAAGTGACTTTTTCAGTGACTCTGAGGAAAAGTCTAAGATGGCTTCTATGTCCATGGCTTTCCGTGAAGCTGCTAGAACCCAGGCAGTTACTGTCTTACACATGTTATTTCTTAGGTGAATTACCTTTTTTGGTGTTAACATGCACAGAAAACTTAATTACCAAATACCTGAGTTTATAACAAAAGGAGACTCCACAGACAAACCTGAGGCAGGGGCTGTCAGGAAAGTTAAGGAAGCAGGGAGGGGACCATTCCAGAGCTGCCTCCCTCTGCCCTGCTGCAGCGAGATAGGGCTAGGCAGGTGCATCTGAGGAAGGGATGATCTTAGGAAAACTGCAGTGGTTCATTTTTGTCCCAGGGACTTAAAGTTTGCTGTGTTTTCAAAAAGTTGCTAGATTGTAAATCTGTGTTGTAGCCTTTTTATTCTCATTAATTCTCCACCCTCACCCATCTGCCTTTCATTATCTAGTAAAAGTTTGCCACACATTGTCAGTGCAGTTCAGATTTCTTGCTCTGCTTATACCTGTGTTGCCTAGGTTCTACTTGGAAGTCTTTTCCTCAGTGTTTTTTCTCTCTTCTTTTTCTGATAATTAATCTACTATTCAGGTGGTGGTTTTTTCTTTGTTCTCTCTACTATTGCTGTTTTCACGTGTATCCCCCTGTCATCTCCTCCATTGCCTTCTGGATCTCTACTACATTTTCTGCGTTTTCACCTCCATTGCAGAGAACAGATCCCCTGTAAAGTGTGAGTGAGGGGCTCAGATGCAGACTCGTTCTCTTCCACAGGGTTTGGCATTGCTCTCTTAGACACCGGGCTCCATGGTAGAACACAGAATCCACCCCTCTTTTCTGGTTTCCTAATTGCCCATCCATTTGGGCTGGTATGCTATTGGATTAGACATCTGTTATCTGAGGAAATGTTCAGTTTCTGAATGAGTTGAGTGAGATCTGAATCTTTTTGGAGCTCTGTAGTATTGCCTGTATCTAGAACAGTTCCTCTTTGGGACCAGCCTTCTGCCAGTGTGCACGGTCATTGCTGGAGTGGATATGAGGCACCCTTATCTGTTGGCTGATCTCTTGCTTTGGATGTTGCAGGGTTAAATGCAATGCAGTTACAGAATTTGGCTGCACTAGCTGCTGCAGCTAGTGCAGCTCAGAACACACCAAGTGGTACCAATGCTCTCACTACATCCAGCAGTCCCCTCAGCGTACTCACCAGTTCAGGTAAGCATGTATAATAGGGCCACTGTGCCCTTGTGTGCCTTGGGCAGAATCCCAAGAGAGGAGTATGTCATTCTGGAGAGTAGTTAACACCCATTTCCAAAGGGGTCAGATCATGAACAGTAAATTTTCAAATGTCATTTTTTTTTTTTAATTAATTTACTTATTTTTGGCTGTGTTGGGTCTTTGTTGCTGCACTCCAGCTTTCTCTAGTTGCGGTGAGCGGGGGCTACTCTTCATTGCGGTGCACAGGCCTCTCATTAAGGTGGCTTCTCTTGTTGTGGAGCACGGGCTCTAGGTGCGCAGGCTTCAGTAGTTGTGGCATGCGGGCTCAGTAGTTGTGGCTCGTGGGCTTTAGAGCACAGGCTCAGTAGTTGTGGCTCACGGGCTTAGTTGCTCCGCGGCATGTGGGATCTTCCCAGACCAGGGCTCAAACCCATGTCCCCTGAATTGGCAGGCGGATTCTTAACCGCTGCACCACTAGGGAAGCCCTCAAATGTCATCTTCTGACTTAAGAGAAATCTCGTAGCTTTTAGTCGGTTGTAATCATCACTTGCTTCTATGTCCTGCAGGGACAGTTATCAAAATCAATAGCTGGGGGGGGGAAATCAGTAACTGAAAAACCTCTTTATAAAGAGAATACTTGAGTAACATAACTTGTGCTTTGGTTCCTGTTGACCTGAGAAGGTAAGTGTTGGTCTGAGTTTAACTCATGGATGTCTGACAGCAGGGTCCTCACCCAGCTCCAGCAGCAGCAGCTCTGTCAATCCCATCGCCTCCCTTGGAGCCCTACAGACACTAGCTGGAGCAACAGCAGGCCTCAACGTCAGCTCTTTGGCAGGTGAGGGCCAGTCCCTGAATGTCATCGAGCCATTCTTTGTGCAGATAGCACATTTTAAACAACTCTGGTAGGAGTGCCGTTAGAATGAATGATTGGGGTGGCCCAGTGAAGTTAGAAATGATCATGGGAGTTTGAGTCAGACCTGAGTTAAATCCCATCTCTGCCCCTTAACTACCTGTAACTTAAGACCACCTTTCTAAGATCATTTTCTCATCTGTGAAGTGGGAGTAGAATACTTTGAGGGTTATTAAGTTAAATGAGAACATAGATAAAGTGCTGAGCACATTACTTAGTACTGTGTCTGGCAACTAGTACATGCTCAGTAAATGTTAGCAGCTATTTTGATGATAGGATTTGCCCACATCTTGTCATAGACTATATGTATCCCTTTTAGTCCCCAGTCTTGGGACTCTTATTTTGCCACATTCCAGCTCTTTGTGAGAAAATGGCAGCAAAGCCAAAGAAAAAAATGGGGCAAGTCGTATAAGTGGTATCACTTCTCGCACAGATTGGAAGAAGATAATGGGGAGAGCTGCACCTGGGTGTGGCATTTTTAAATGTCCCCATTAGCTACAAGGCCTGGTGAGTGTCCTAAAATCTGACCAGTCGGAGGAATATTCCTCCTCAGGGAGAAGCTAAGGAGATGAAAGGGCGTACTTTGGAGTTTGTCTTTGGTATCGCTTGAGTCTTTCCAATCTGTTAATCCTGCTCTTCCCCCCACCCTCACCCCCAACCAAGGGATGGCTGCTTTAAATGGTGGGCTGGGCAGCAGTGGCCTTTCTAATGGCACTGGGAGCACCATGGAGGCCCTCACGCAGGCCTACTCGGGGATCCAGCAATATGCTGCAGCGGCGCTCCCCACTCTGTACAACCAGAACTTGTTGACACAGCAGAGTATTGGTGCTGCTGGAAGCCAGAAGGAAGGTGAGTGCCAAGGGAAACTGGAGTCAGGGACAGGGGTGGGTGCTCCACCTGACCAGCACTGAAAAGCAGGGCAAAGCCCCGGAGAGCCATGTAGGTGGTCAGGCCAACACTTGTTTTTTTTTTTTAAACACTTCTCTTTGGCAATGTCAAGGGTAGACTGAGAAACTGTGATCTGCTTTCTGGATGTGGCTCAGGTCAGAACCTCTGTATTCTCTCCTGAGATGGGGCTGCAGTTTTTAGATGAAGAAACATATTGGCTTTATTGTGTCTGACACCATTTGGCAGTCTGCAGTCTGTTTTTTTGTTTGTTTTTGTTTTTTACTGGGATATAGTTGCTTTACAATGTTGTGCTAGCTCCTGCTGCACAGCAAAGTGAACCAGCCATATGTAAACACATATCCCCTCCCTTGCGGATTTCCCTTCCATCCAGGTCACCACAGAGCACCAAGTAGAGTTCCCCGTGCTGTACAGCAGGTCCTCACTAGTTATCTTGTTTCATACCAAGCGGCGTACATATGTCAATCAAATCTCCCATTTCGTGCCCCACCCCCGCGCCGCCCCTCCCCACCGTGTCCTCACATTTGTTCTCTACATTTTGTCTCTATTTCTGCTTTGCAAATAGGTTCATCTGTACCATTTTTCTAGATTCCACATATATGTGTTGATACACGATATTTGTATTTCTCTTTCCGGCTTACTTCACAACATCCTTGCCCAGGGGCCATGCTAATCTTCTCTTTATCATTCCAGTTTTAGTATATGCATTGCCGAAGCGAGCACTGGCAGTCTGTTTTTGTTAGGAAGTCTTCTCTGTGGATTATAAATCTGTCAGAGGTTATCTTCTGTCTAGGTGTCCCTTATAGCTCTGTCATTTGGCATTTTCCTCACTTTCTGATCTATGCTTTTCCTAATTGAGGACAAACTGAAGGGTGATGAGACAGGAAGAGTTGATGGAGTGGGAAGTATGGAGTGGGAAGTATGTGCCTTGACATAAATGGTATTAATTCAGGAGAGGCTTTTTAAGCAGAAAGAGGCCTGAAAGTGGTTTGTATGAATAGAAGGTGCTGCCAGCATCTCTGTGCTCATATATGACTGGGTTTCCTTAACCAGGAGCTGGCAAGATTTAAGCACTAATGTAGGAAATAGACAAGTATCCTCTCTTGCTTTAGCAGCAAGGAGCCTTGGTGCAGTGCATCCTTACCGGCTCTGAATTGGACATTTATGTGCCCTAGGATGTGGTAGTGGGGGAACTGATGGAACTCTGGAGATAGACAGTAAACAGAAGCATGAGGTGTTCCAAATGGTGCTCTGAAGAATGATGAGCAGCAGGAAGGAGGAATAGAGAGTGCCAGAAAGATAGCATTTTACAGAGAGAAGGAGGTCTCTCTAAGTTGATGTTTAAGTAAAGACCTGAAGGAAGGAAGGAAGCCATGCATATATCTAGAGGAAGAAGAGTAATGGGGCAGAGGAACAGCAAGTGCAGAGACCCTGAGGCAGCAGCGTTCTGTATGTGTTTGACAACAGCAGGGAGGCCAGGGTGGCTGGAGACTGGCTGGACTGCGATTGTAATAAAACTCTGTTTTGAAGATGTGCTGCATATATACAATGGGATATTACTCAGCCATAAGAAATGAAATAATGCCATTTGTAGCAACATGGATGGACCTAGAGATTATCATACTAAGTGAAGTGAGGCAGAGAAAGACAAGTATCATATGATATCACTTATATGTGGAATCTAAAAAAATGGTACAAATGAACTTATTTACAAAACAGAAAGAGTCATAGATGTAGAAAACAAACTTTATGGTTACCAGGGGGAAAGGGGGTGGGGAGGGATAATTTGGGAGATTGTGATTGACATATACATACTATATATAAAATTGATAACTAATAAGGACCTACTGTACAGCACAGGGAACTCTACTCAGTACTCGAATGACCTAATGGGAAAAGAATCTAAAAAAGAGCAGATATATGTGTGTATATATATATAACTGATTCACTTTGCTGTACAGCAGAAACTAACACAACATTGTAAATCAACTATACTCCAATAAAAATTTTTAAAGAAAACACCTCTTCTTTGGCCAGGAAATCAGTGAGTGTAAATGGTTGAAGAGGAAAGCATATTCTAGTTCTGAGCTTAGTTGTTTATCATAGGCACATTTAAAAAATATGTTTTTACTGAGGCACAATTTACATAAGGTAAAATTCACCCTTTTGGGAATATAGCTCTGTGAGCTCTGACGAACACACGTAGTCACGTAACTGCTGCCACAGATGTAGAACATTTCTATCATCCCTAGAAATTCCCTCATGTCTCTTTATAGTAGGTCCCTGCCCCACCTGCCTCTGGCAATTACCAATCTCTTTGCTGTCCCTATTGTTTCTAGGCACAATTTTGAAACCTGTTTTATTTATAATCTCTACCTCCTTTTCTGTTGTTCCTCTACAACCCTGTAGTCTCTGGTTTTATTGCACCACACGCAAATCTGCCTACTTACTGTCCCAGCACACCATCCTCCCACAAGGTCGAATTCTGACCTTTGTCAATGAGACAGAGATTGAGAATGGTGAACGGGAAAGAGGGCAGGAACCTGTTTCAGCGATCACCCTTCAGCCCCCTGCCTTGTATTTAGAGAATCTGTTTAGTTCTCCAGGTGAATTTCTGTTGGTTGGGATGCTGCGAGTTGTAACACAGGTGGAAATGAGAGTCGGTGCAGGGGATGAGTGTGCTTGACACTGACCTGTTCAATCAATGGGGATTTTGAAGGTCCAGAAGGAGCCAATCTGTTCATCTACCACCTGCCCCAGGAGTTTGGAGACCAGGACCTGCTGCAGATGTTCATGCCCTTTGGGAATGTCGTGTCTGCCAAGGTTTTCATAGACAAGCAGACAAACCTGAGCAAGTGCTTTGGTACGTTGGTGTTTCTTCTGGTGTCGGGAGAGCTAAGCACGTTCACCAGTTAGAAAGGGGGAGGAGGGGCTGAGAGCAGAGAAAGGGGGAGAAGGGGCTGATAGCAGGAGAGCTGCGTTTGAGTTTGTAGTTTAACTTAGCCTCTGGCAGGTTGCATTGCCTCGTTTTGAGCCTCAGTGTTTTCATTTCTGTAGTGGGAATGATGATTTGTACCCACACTGTCACTCCAGAGGTAAAAATAATGTATGGAAAATGGCTTGGCCAAAAAAACTTTAAGGTACTGTGTAGATGTCAACTGCTGCTGTTAGGAACCTGATTTATTTCATGTGATATAATTTCAAGAATTCTTGTTCCTGCTGAGAAAAATTGGGATTTGAGACTAAGCTCCTAAGGTATCTCTTGCATAAGGAAGATTGAGAATCTTCCTGCCTCGTTATGCCCCTCACCTAGGTTTCTGCTTGGACACACAGGTTTTGTAAGTTACGACAATCCTGTTTCGGCTCAAGCTGCCATCCAGTCCATGAACGGCTTTCAGATTGGCATGAAGCGGCTTAAAGTGCAGCTCAAACGTTCGAAGAATGACAGCAAGCCCTACTGAGCGTGCTCCCCTCTGAGACTGGAGTGAGAGGGTCTTCTGGTAAGTGGGGGAGGAGCACCCTTAATGATTCGAAGCCCTAAGGCTGTGTGTTGACAGCCCTGGACCCTGATCCCTGCCACTCTCGCAGGCACAGCTTGCCCTGAAGACTCGGCTACTGCCTTCTGTGGGAATTTCGCTTCGTACAGAGGACAAGTTTGTGCTTTGGTTTCCAGTGTTTTACTTTGGAGTTTAGGTGCCATATCCTGAGTTTTTTTTCTTTATTTAAAAGTTTGCTGTGTTTGTAACCAGTGTGTTGAGAAGGACCAACATCAAACTGCCCTGGGGGAGGAGGGGGAATGGAGAAACATTAAAAAAGAAGATCAGAATTTGCCCCAAACTACCCGAAGAGAGAGGACTGAGTGAAACAAAAAATTGACCCCCAGAATCTTCCTGAGCACGAGAGTGGGTGAAATGAGAACTGACATCCAAGAGCTTTTGCGGGGTGGAGGAGGTGGGGTTGGCTTTGGAGAGTGAGAGTGACTTGACACCCAGCAGCCCCGGGAGCTGGAGGCTAAAACTCCTCCATAGCTGCCTTCTGTGGAAATACTGAGTTCTTGCCACCTATTTTTTAGATTCTTGTCTGGGATTTCTGCCCCTCTTTCCTAAGAAGGGGCTAACAATTCTCTGGAAATAAAGCACCTGTTAAATTAGCCTGACATATGCAAAAAGCAGGGATATATCACCCATTACCAGCTTTCCCAGCCAGCCATTGGTGTTGGATTGGCCCTGCCCTCCTGCCTGGTGGCTGTTAGGAAGCAGCAGCCGGTCAAAGAGATTGTTTTTAGTTTATTTCAACACCAAACTATTAGACCGTGGCCATTTCTACCAGGTCCATTTAAAGAAGGCCTCCGGGGAAGACACTGTCTGGTCTCTTCTTTATGGTTGACCACAGCGAGGAATGTCTCTTCCATCCCCAGCCACAGGTTTCTCACGAGGGTAGATCCAAGAAGGGCTTACAGCATCTAGTTGAAGGGAGCACCTCTCCTGAGCAGAGTGATCAAAAGCCATCAAGCTGGGGGAGGAGGAGCCTGCTTCTTGGTGTACCTGAATCATAAGGTCCCTTTAAGCCAGTGCTGCGTTTGCCAGTGGCCAGCACTCAGTGCTTAAAAGGATTAAGAAATCCATGTTTGCCTCCTTGGTTGAGATGTCCCAGATGTAGTGTCAAAACGGAGGCAGGCCCCTCTTCTGCCCGCTCCAGCCCCATCTTCTGCTCTTGGCGACAGAGGAGACAACAGGACGTTTACAACCTCCATATGGATTTAGTGTTCATTTACCTCAGCATCACCGTGTTCGTTTTTGTCCTCGTGCTTACAGTTAGCTCCCTGCTGCCTCCCACAGGTCTCACTGCAGCCCTTGCCTGTGACCCACACAGCCTCTGGGCTCTGCCTCTGCTCCCAGAAATGCTGCAGGGGTGGAGAACCAGAAGGGACACGCTGTTGGGAATGTGTACCTGGGCAGAGGTGGCCCTGTTAATATACGATCTTTAGCCAAGGCCAGGGGCTGGGTCCCTGGGATCTTAAACCTCACAAACATCAGTCCTGACCCCTAGCAGCAGAGGTGAGATTAAAGGGGTTGGTTTGCTATTAAGTCAGATGGAGGCTCTCTCCTTGTCATGCTGTCCATTTGGGCCACAGACAAGGATTGACTGTCTTGCTGTTGTGCAGGTAGTTGGTGGTGTTGGATTATCCCATTGAAGCTGGGACAGCTGTTCCCTTCTCATAGTGATAACTTGGGTCTGTTGTCCTCTAAGAAACATGAAACGTACTTCTTAAGCTGAACCACGTAAACTTGAATTCCACGCACTGGGAGAAATGTGTCCTGTGTTTCAAGGATAAAACTGTTCCAAAGGCTTCCAGGGTCATGATGGGATTTTTTAAATAAATGCAAAAAATAAAAATAAAAAAGAAAAAAGACAACAAAAAAAGAAAAAAATGCTAGGTTGGGGAGGCGCTGTTCTGAATCCCAACCAGCTGGAACCAAGAATGTCGTTTCTATTTTTATAGAAGTTTTATACAGCTCCGGGGTGGAGAATATTTATTACCTAAATTATATCTCTGGAAAAGGCCAGGATTTTGTAGAATCCAGAATGTGATTGTTGTACACACAGGGTGCTGTGTATGATTGAAACTACTGACTTTCTGTGGCCGTTTGCAGCCCAGCTAATCTGCCAGAGGGGGAAGGAGTTAATGCTGTGAATTGGCGGAGGAGAGAGCTGTGCTCC